CTATACCAGTTTTATAATATCAATTCGAAGAAAAAGAAAATTACACAACATAATAAAGTTCAAATCTTGAGTTTTATTTTTAGCTCAGATTTTTCCATTCAAAGTACTTCTCTCATATAAAAAAAAATATTTCCAGTGAAAAAGAACATTTGGAGACCAGTCAGTGTCTAATGCTCACTGTTAAATTCTTAGCAGTTCTTCTTGAGAAAGATTAACATGTCTGCTTTCTCAGGAGACAAACAAGCCCGCTCCTGGCTGATGGTGTCTCCAGCAGTAGAAAATGTATGCTCTGAGGGTGTCGATGATGCTTGCACACAGCGATACCTGGTTGCCAAGTTTGATAGCATTGGCATAGTGTCCCTCACATTCCACCACCAGGTCACTGCATTCACAGAAGTTAGGGTAGAGGGTGAACCTCTGTACCGCTGGATCTCCTCTTGAATCTTGTCTGTGTCGCTAGAACTGTTCTCTTGTCTCATTTCAACTGCCATGTCTTCATCAGCAAATAGCTCCTCAAGAGCAGAGAGCTTTGGCTTTTTCTGTAAACAAAAATAAAATAATAGATAGCAATTTAATTTTGTTATGTAACATTAAGTAATGTGGGGAAATGGGATGTCTTTGTATTGCTTTATTTTACCAGTGGTCCTACTGCAGCTCCACAGTCTTCATCAGAGGAGTTGTCATCACGGGGACCAGCTGTCCTCTCAACCTTCTGCTTCATCTGCTGGGCCTAGAAAATTACAACTTCATTCAGTGTTCAATAGATTATAATGGGAGTCATATAAACAGACCTACATTTGAAGTGGAATAAAAATTATCAATCAGAAAAAAAACAAACACCTGTTGTGAGGTTCTACTCATGAGCTCCTCTTGTATTCTGGTCCACACTTCTTCGCCTACTTTCATCTTGAATCTCGGGTCTAAGGCTGTGCCCTCCTCCAAGAACTGCCTGATTCTCTCATCCTGCAAGACAAAAGCAGAAATGTATATTAGTATGATATATATCATGATGTCTGAGTATAGTAAACCTAAAGAAAACAACAAAAATATGCAACATACTTGGTATCTTTTTGAGAGGTCCCCCCAGATCTTTTCCTTGATAGCTTGTGTGAAGGAGGAGTCCTCATCAGTAACTGCGAAGTGATGCTGGAGCTTTCCCAAAATGGGCAGAATCTGGCCCAAAGTTGGACTCCTTTCAGCAGAGATGCAAATGGTTGAAGTATATAGTATTTTCATAACTCTGACAAACTGTTCTGCTTTTCTAAAATCCTCATTAGAAAGTCTCTCCAGTCTGAAAGGAAATATACACATTGTTGTATTAGTTAGAGCAAAGCCCAGCACATTGGTTGGTTTGATAAAAGAATAAGGTAATCCCACAATCTATCCTCATCTACAATACCTGTCCTTCTCCATTGATTGTTTTAACCGAGGGTCCATGGAGGCTGCCTGGATAGCAGGAAACTGCTCCAGAAATCGCTCCACCATCAGGAACAGGCTGTTCCACCTGTTCTTCACATCTAAAATGACAGCATGTTCTGGAAAACCTAAAGAAAGATGGTGTGTGTGGTTTACAAACAGGTTGTGTATTTGCTGTAATAGTTCAATGATTGATTTAGCCATATCATTTTGAAACTAAGTTTAGTCCACTTTGATTTCTACTAACCAAGAAGACGCTGCTTCTCTTTTAATAGGTTTGTCCAAGCTGCACCGTTTTAACCACACCACCTCGGATTCTTCCTGCCCACTTTGAGATTACTGGTATAGTATACAGCTTTTGAGCAGCAATGTTTAGAGTATGAGCAAAACAGGCAATCTTTCTAATGTTCATTTTTTTCACTGCTACATCCATATTAGCTGCATTGTCTACAGTGATTGCAACAACTTTATCCTTTATATTGAATTCATCAAGAATATCCCCTATCTCCTCGGCTATTACATTCCCTGTCTGTGATGTGTAGACTGCCCTGGTATGCAGGATTTTCTCCTTCATGGCCCCCTCTCTCACAAAGTGGACTGAAACAGTCAAGTAATGGTCTTGTGCCAAACTGGTCCATCCATCCGCGGTCACAGCCACATCTCTGACGTCTTGCAATTCTTTCTTGACATTTTCCTTCTCTACTGCATACCATGCTGGTATGAGTGTATTTGACAGCATGTCTTTGCTGGGGGACTGGTATCTGTGGTTAAGGGCTGTTATCTCCCTAATTGACATATACAATACAATACACAAAACATCAACAATAACATGGCTGTGTAAATTTTGCTCAAAAAACATTATCTAGGCTAAGAGAGATAAAGGCTAAACTGGTCAAATATATAACCTAAAGCTTACTTACCTCCACCATAGAGCCTCCACAATAGAAAAAGGCAGCAAACCTTTAACAACAAAGTTTGTGACTGACCTGTGACACTGATGACTTGTTTTTCTTTTGGCATCTTTGCCTTTTCTGCAAGCGTGAATGGAATTATGCTGACTGGCTTTTTCCTCCTCACATCAGAGTCAGAGCTACTGTGAGGAGAATATAAAAATAACAGTGAAGATAAGGTTAGCTGTTTAACCAACCAACCAACAACAGTCTTTTTTGCATATATTGCATTTCGCACTGTTGGCATCAATTTTAATGAAGTGAAGCCACACTTTTGATCTAGGTGGCATTTTTAAGTGGTTCAACGAAGCTCGCAACCAGTTCAAAACAGATACACACGTGAACCCCGTCTGTCGGCGTAACCACGTATCTATTTTTACTGGGTGACGTAATCACGTTTAACGTTACAGCCAATCACCGAAACTTGGTACCGAAAGACGAGGCATGTTTCGATACTTGGTAGAACCGAAGCATTTCGGTCAGTACCATAAAAGAACCGATGTTCGCTACCCAGCCCTACTCCCCAGCCACTTAGGCCAGCTCCTCCGGGGGAATCCCAAGGTTCTCCCAGGCCAGCCGAGAAACATAGTCCCTCCAGCGTGTCCTGGGTCTCCCCCTGGGCCTCCTCCCTGGTGGGACGTGCCTGGAACACCTCACCAGGGAGATGTCCGGGAGGTATCCTAATCAGATGCCCGAGCCACCTCAACTGGCTCCTCTCGATGTGGAGGAGCAGCGGCTCTACTCTGAGTCCCCCCCCGGATGACCAAGCTCCTCACCCTATCTCTAACGAAGATCCCGGACACACTACGGAGAAAACTTTTCGCACGCTTCACAGCAGACGCCACACCAATCCGCTTATTGATCTCCCGCTCCATCTTCCCCTCATTCGTGAACAAGACCCCAAGATACTTAAAGGAATAGTACACCCAAAACATGATTAGCCTTCATTTTCTACTCACCCCCATGCTGAACAACACTCTGGAGTACGTTTTTGATATCTCAAAGCGCACCTGCGCGATCACGACGCTACGGAAGCCGGCAGACCAAACCAGCGCATTCAGCTCGGCAAAGAACTCATGCTCTTCCTCAACACTGAAGTCCTCAG